AAAACATTGCATACATTGTCAGCAACATTGCGTGATGATCAGCTATGAATGACTCAGCTCTTCTCAGCAACACAATGATCCAAGACAAGTACAAAGGACTCACAAAGGAAAATGCTATCCACATCCAGATAAAGAACTGATGACCTCTAAATGCAGAGCAAAGCATTTTTTCCACTTAATTTATTCTTTTTCATGTTTTTTTTTTCTTTTTGATCTGTTTCTTCTTCCACAACTGTGACTAATACGGAAATATGTTTTACATGATAGCACATGTATAAACTATATCAAACTGCCTACCATTTTCAGAAGAAGGGAAGGGAAAGAGGGAGAAAAATTTAGAGCTCAAAATCTTGCAAAAATAAATACAAAAAAATTTTCTTGATATATAATGGGAAAGATAAAATACTATTTTAAAAAATACTTATTTTACTTTATCCCTGCTAATATACATGCCATTGTAAAACAATCTCCAGGTTCCTCTTTAAATGACTTTCTTATTAGTATTTCTTAAGCTTTATCATCTCCAGGAGCCCTATTCATATTAGGTAGATTAATTTGAGGATTCTTACCTACCAAGATTTTGTGTAATTTCCCATATAGAATATGTAAGGTTTACCACTTTTTTAATAACTTGGAAAAATGAGTAGAAGATGCATGCTTATCATTTTATCTTAGAACAAAAGCTCCTTGATTCTAGGGATTGTATCTTTATGTGCTGTGCAGTCCCTAGCACAGCATGATCATGCCAGTAAATGTTAAAAGATCATGCAGAAAATTACTATCCTGTGTGCTAACTGGAGTAGAACTAATTCTTAGGATGGAAATAGAGTAGATGAATTCTTGAAATTCTGTCCAAATTCTGGAATAACTGAATTGGAGTTAGGAAGGACCTTAAAGTCCATCTGAACAGGAATACCTAAACAGGAATTCCCTCTCCAGTGTCTTCAATAAAGGGTCATTCACTCCCATCAAAGGCTTGCTCCTCATCTCCTGAGGCACCCTGTTCTACTTTTGGATAGCTCTCATTGGTTTTCAGTTTAATTTTATTGATATCTTTTGTTTTTATTTCACCTTCATTTCTCAGTAAATCACTCCCATCTCCCAGATCCAGAGTCATCCTATATAACAACAACAAAATTTTTTTTTAAAGAGAGGAAGAGCAATTTAGTAAAACTAACTACATTTCCCTGGTCCAGTAGAATATATTGTATTCCCTATCTGTACTGAGGAGGGAGGTGTTTATTTTTTGTTTTTGTTTTTTACTTTCCTCAGGAGTATTTTATTTCTTTTTCCAATTACATGTAAAGATAGTTTTCAGCATTCACTTTTGTAAACTTTTGAGTTCCAAATTTATCTCCCTTCCTCCCCCCTACCTAAGGCAGCAAGCAGTGTGATATAGGCCAACCATGTACAATCACGTTAACCATATTTCCACATTAGTCATGTTGTGAAAGAAGAATCAAAACAAAAAGGAAAAATCATGAGAAAGAAAAAAAAATAGTATACTTCAATCTGCATTCAGACTCCATAGTTCTTTCTCTGGATGTGGTTAGCATTTTCCATCACAATGGATTGCTCTAATTGTTAAAAAGTTTTTCCTTACAAGATTCATATGTATTACTAACCAAACTATCAAAGAGATACTTTATGGAACTTGTTAAAATAATATAATTTAGTGGGAAAAACAGAAGTTCTAGAATATTAAAGGAAATGATGAAAAGAGGTGGGAACTAAGGGGGAATAGCACTTTCAGACTTCTGTTATGAAACAGCTGTCATCAAAAACATCTAGTATTGGTTAAAAAAATAAAGAGGTATATCATTAGAACAGATAAGATAAAGGAGAATCAGAAACAATGGAACTTAGTAGGTCAGTGTTTGATGAAGCAGAAATCTTAAAATTTTTAGGAAAGAACTCTATTTGATAAAATTTCTGGGAAAACTGGCAAGACCAACATCTTATACCATATTCTGCAATTCATTTAAATAAATATGTGACCTTAATATTAAAGATAATACTATAGAAGAATTAGAAGTATATCTTATAAATGTATATGATGTATCAATCATATAGAAGTAGATCATCGATGTCTCCTTAACCAAATAAGGGATAGAGACAATTACAGGAGATAAAGTAGATAACTTTGATTGCATGAAACTGCTGCATAGGCACAATTAATGCACCTAGAATAAGAAGGGAAGTGGTTGAATAGGGAAAAATCTTTATCAGATTTCTCTGATAAGGGTTTGGTATCAAAGATATATAAACATTTAACAAATGTATGTGACCAAAAGCCATTCCTCAGTAGATCAGTGGTCGAAAGATAAGAACAACCAGTTCTCAAAAGAATTTGCAAAGAATGGACAACCACATGAAAGAATGCTCCAAATCACTAATAATAAGATAAAAGCAAACCACTTCCCTGAGGTTTTACTTTATGCCCTGCATATAGACAAAGATAGCAAAAGATAAGAATGGACAGTGTTGCGTGGATTGTGGGAAGATAGGCACACTGATGCATAGTTGGTGGAGCTGGAAAGCGGTTTGGAATTATGTAAATAAAGTGACTAAAATGTCTATACCCTTTGACCCGAAGATTCCATTATACTCAATGGTGACTGTTCATAAGAAGAAAGCCCCTCATATATACCAAAATATTTTGGAGCAGGACTTTTTTTTGTGATAGTGAAAAATTAGAAACAAAGGAGATGCTCATCAATTGGGAAATGGCTAAAAAATTGTGGTACATGAATGTAATGGAGCATTGCTTTGCTGTCAGAAATAATGCATGTGATTAATATGGAGAAGCATGTAAAGATCTACATGAACTGATGCAAAGTGAGGTAAGCAGAACCAGGAAAACAATATACCCCAGAACTATAACAGTGGAAAGAACAACCACACCAAAAAATAAAAAATGAATGTTGCAGAATTATGAAGAACAAGCTTGCCTTGAAAGCAGAGATATGAAAAGACACTCCCACTCTACCCCTTTGCAGACATGGGATGTCAACAGTTGTTGCACATTGCACATGTTTTCAGATTGTTCTTATGTATTGATCAATTTAAAGTGATTTTTCCTCTTTGTTTTTAGTCTTTGAAAAATACTGTTATTTTGTGGGATGACTCTGGGAGGGGGAAGATATGGTGATGCTAAAAAAACATTAAAAATTAATAAAAACTTATTTTTTTAAAAAAGACTCATGAATTAATGTAGAACCAGAAGAGCAATATACATGATAACTATAATAATATAAATCAAGATAACTAAATTTTAGGGTAAATCAGATTAAAGGCAATAATATTATTTTCAGAGGCTAGGTGATAGATGATAAAACAGCCTCCTTCCTCTTGGTAGATAATGCCCACCTCAGATTTATTCATTATGTCAGTTGATTTTGCTCAACCATTTTTCTTTGTTATAAAAGATGGTTCATTTGGAGGTGGAAGGATATTGGGAAATGTCAGGTGTAAAAAAACAAAAGGTACTGACAAAACTTTTTTAAAAATTCTTTTAAAAAAAGACTTTTTTTCCTTAGATAGAATCTAAATCTATTTCTAATTTCCACTCTTCCTAATTCTGCAGTTTGAGGACATGTAGAACAACTCAGTCCTCCTACTCAGCTTTTCATATATTAAGTAGTTCATATATTAAGTAGTCCTAATAATAAGGCTTTTCTTCTCCAAGCTAACCATTCAACAGTTCCCTCAACTAATGCTCAAATGGTCTGGTCCTTCGGCCCCATCTTTCTTGTCCTGGTCACCTTCTGAATAATCTGTTTATCAGTATTCTTTATAAAACTGTAGCACCCAGAATTGAACACAATAATCTCAATGTGGTATTATCAGGGCAGAGTAAGTAGCAACTGTTGCCAACATATGTCCTTCCATTTAGTGCTTTTGTAGCCTAGTTTACTTAGAAATGTTATATTAAAATTTTAATATTCTACTACAGGAAAACTGTCAGAGCTTCTTATTCAAGTCTAAGAACTTCGGGCTCATTTCCTGTTTGAAAGGTCTTGAAATTGGCCATCTCTAGTTATGGGAGGAAGTTAAGACTGTGCGATGCCTTTTGGTGAAAGAAATTATCATGTTTCACTTGTCAGTGCTGAGTACTGACTATTAATAATAGTCATTATTGATTAATTAATAATAGCCATAATAGTAATATAACATTATATAGCAATATATAAATAATAATAATAGTCATAACAAAAGTAAAACTATTGTTTTAAGATCCATTATAAAATCTATATAGAACTATGGATCAATGCAAATAAATGTAGTATTTTAGTGGGTTCAGAATTATGTAGGGCAAATTTATACAAAAAACCAGATTAAAAAGATATTTCAGAAAGATTAATTCATAATATGAAGTGCTAAGTAGAAACTGTAATGTATTTCATTGAGTTTGGGTATGCCTGCTGCTATATGACCTTAAGTAAATGTCCCTGGGACCATCTGTTGAAGCCTGTGGTCCTCTTCTCAAAAGAATGCTTTTACATGCAGAAGATAAAATACATAGAATTACAAAGGAAACCAATAGTACTGAAAACAGTCATCAAGATACATTTAAAAAATGTTCAGGGACCACAGGTTAAGAATCCCTGGTCTTTAAGCATACCTTCCTCTTTGTAAATCAAAGGTAGAATTTATAAAGAGCCACTCATAAATGCTAGAAGGAAACATAAAACTCCTTTCATTCAGATTAAGATTTTGAAAGATTTTGGGTCATATTAATTCTTTTTGTCACTCAAATTTGTCTAAAAGATATTTTTTCTATATAACTAGTAATCTTTCTTTTAAAATAATTTATTTTTATTTTATAATTTTTATCATTACCTTTACTAATCTTTATTTTATTATTTTAATTTTTATTATTTTAAAAACAATTCCCCACCTACCAAGTGTTTAACATAAATTTAGAAAGCTAGGTTTTATTGTTATTAAAAAAGGATGACAGATAACATTCTAAAAATGTACTTTTTCTTCCATTCTAGCTGGTGGAAATGTTGGATATGTCTGTTCCTGCTGTTGCTAAATTGAGACGTCTTTTAGATAGTCTGCCGAGGGAAGCATTACCAGACATCCTCACTTCAATTATCCGCACAAGCAACAAAGAGAAGCTCCAGGTATTATACTCCCTTTATGAACTCCAAATTCCTTCTTACTTTTAATTTTTATCTAGGTCGGGCTTTGGCTAAATAGCCTTGCAGTTAAAAATGAATTACCAATAACTGGAATCAGTGATTAAAATGCTTACCAGAAATCTTTGTCATATAACTTTTCAGTAACATACTATTTTGCATATTTTATAACTGAAAAATACTTCACTCTTTTGCCCTTGACTTGATTATTTTGAAATGTTTTAGAGAGGCAGTGTGAGGTAGGATGGCACTATAGATTGAGGGCCAGGCTTGGAGTCCAGAACATCTGGATTCAGATCCTCTATCTAACAACAAACTAGTATTTGTGCCATATGACCATGGGCAAGTTACTTCCTTCTCTGAGCCTCACTTTTTTCATCTATAAAATGAGGATATCTGTAGTATCTTTCTTATGTGGTGATTATAAGGCTATTGTACTATATGATCATGTAAAGGACTTTGGAATTTTGAAGGTGCTATATAAATGTCATTGGGGTAGTCTGATTATTATAATAGAATTATGCTGGGCTCTAAAGGCATATCACTAGAAAGAGGAGAAAATAAAAAATAATTTTGATTCTATTTTAACATATTACATTTAACACATTCAAGAGGAAAAGAAATGGAATCCTTTGAGACATCCTTTATTTGTCTGAAATGTTCTTATTAATTTGATAAAATTCATTTGGAGGTGTTAACTGTAATGTCTCAAAATATATACTGACTATTTAAAACTGCCTCTTTTATTTTTATTGTGTTGACTCTACCTGTGTTCTTTCTTAATAACTTGCATCAAGATTCTGATTGATCTTTTTTTAACCGTAGACCATATGTAGTTATTGAAAGGTACACCTGCCAAAATATTATGAGCAGACATTATTCATTAAATTCATTATGTTTTGTCAGATTTTGGATGCTGTGAGCCTAGAGGAGAGATTCAAAATGACCATACCTTTGCTGGTAAGACAAATTGAAGGCCTTAAATTGCTTCAGAAAACCAGAAAACATAAGCAGGATGATGATAAGCGGGTAAGCCCTATGTTTAATCTTTTTTTTTTTCAAGATTCCAGGGGGGTTTGCATTAGGAATGAGTCTTGCTAATTCTTAATAATCTTCAAGTTTTACAATAACATCCTTCCTATCCAGAACTCAATTATTTGGCAACCTTACTGATCTAGAATGCAAATAAGAACCAGGAAATGCATAGGGAGGAAGGAGGTGGGGAAAGGACAAGAGGGTAGCACAAAGTCTTTTCAGTAAATCTAATATGAGATCCTCCTCAGGTCTTCATTCAGAACCTATTTATTCTTATTTTATACATAATTCTAACAAGTTTGGCTCTGTGGTTTGCAAGCCTGCAAAAGAGAAGCATCAACAAATTTGCAAGAGGGGAGGGCTACGGATGGGCATATTTATAGCAGCAAGAAGGGATAGGCATCAGCTTGACAGTGAAGTAAGAGACAGAGAAACTATTAAAAAACTACTGTGTGTTCTACAGCTCTACATAACAAAACAGGTGCAACTGGTATTGTATTAATGCATGGTACAATGATTGATGCTTGTAATGATGGTTGCTAATCATCAAAACCAGGTTCAATTATGCTTATCATCCCTGTTTTTAAGATAGCAGCAAACTGTGTGGTATACTTTAGAAAGATTTTCATCCAAAAATGTTTTTTAAAATAACCTATTTTGGTACATAATGGGGTAAACTTTCTTTTATTTAGGAAACTCAGTCATCTAAAACAACTTGTTTTCTAATGGTTCCAGATAACCAAGATTTTATTGATATGTTTAATAAAATCAGAATGTTAGAACTAGAAGGGATTTTAGAGATTCAGTCTAAGTTTTCTCATTTTGAAAATAAGGAAGTGTGGGGCAGCTAGGTGGCACAGTTTATATAGCACCAGCCCTGAAGTCAGGAGGACCTGAATTCAAATTCAGCCTCAGACCAGACACTTGACACTTATTAGCTGTGTGACCCTGGGCAAGTCACTTAACCTCAACTGCCTAAGCAAAAAAAATAAAAATAAGGAAATGAGCCTAAAGGGGCATACCTGAGGTCTAACAGCTCATTAGTACAAATCCAAGACTAGAATCCAGGTCCCATCACTTTCACTCTGGTTCTTTTAGGCACTCTGCTTAGTCCCTGCAATGCAAAGGAATTGGGGGCATTCTAGTTGGAGAAGACAGCATATAAAGAGGAGTAGAAAAGTAGGGGGAGGTACCCAAGTAGGGGTATGGTATCGTAGTCTGGGGAATGAGGGATGGCTGGCCTGGCAGCCTTCCCTGAAATGGAGGTTCCTGGAAGTACTCGCCAGCAGGAACAGGGTCCCACAGGAGCAGAGTTAGGAGGCAAGTGAGGCAGAGTAGCATGTATAGTCTAGAGAAAGCCACACAGTGATTTAGGTTTTATATTTGAGGCACTGGGTATTTCAGAGCAGGAGTGTAGCGTGAAGCAATAGGTGTTCTAGAAATGTTTTTCAAGCAAAAGTATGTAGGAAGGATTGGGAGGAGGAAGTACTGAGTCTAGAGACATAGAAATATGTAGTATTTTGCTGTTTGAAGGGACTTGAGAGATCATTTATTCCAACCCATTCATTTGACAGTTGAAGAAACTGAGGTCTAGATCAGTCTGGAAATTCTTAAAAGTATTTAAGTATATACTTGTTGTTCAATAATTTTCGGTTATGTCCACCTCTTTGTGACCCCATTTGGGGTTTTCTTGGCAGAGATACAGAAGTGGTTTGCCATGTCCTTCTCCAGCTCATTTTTCAGATAAGGAAACTAAGGCAAACAGGATTAAGTGACTTACCCAGAGTCACACAGCTAGTAAATGTCTGAGGCCAGATTTGAAGTCAGGAAGACGAGTCTTTCTGTCTTCAAGTGTCAGACTCTATCCACTGCATGACGTCACTGCCCATAGATCGGGGCCAGGTTACCCAAATAATCCAATAAACATTTATTAAGCACCTATGATATATCAGGCACTGTGCTAAGCACTGGTGATTCAATTAATAAAAATACAGTCCTTGCCCGCAGTGAACTTACAATCTAGAGGAGGAACAACACACAAAAGGAGAAAAGAAAGCAGAGGGTAAAAGGGAAGGACAGGGCGGGATGGGACACTAGCAGGTACCCAGACTGGGAACATCTTGTTCTGTGGAGTTGAAACCAAGCAAGGCAGCAATTGCAGAGTGAAGTAAGCCCCAAAAGTCTAATTTCTCTGCCCTCCGTAAAGGAAGACATTGGGAGGAGTTTGTTACTTTAACCTCCAGGCGGGGGAGAAGAGGCTGAGTGAGATGGTGTCAGTAAGACTTGAATTAGCAGCCTGGTTAGCAGCTTTGAAGGGCAGCTAGGTGGTGCAGTGGATAGAGTGCTGAGTCAGGAAGATGCCTCCTTGTGAGTTCAAATCTAGCCTCAAATTCTGAAGCAAGAAAGGAAATGGCAAATCACTCTAGTATCTCTGCTAAGAAAACCCAAATGGGGTCATGAAGAGTCCGATACAAATGAAACAGCTGAACAACAATAGCAACCTGGTGGTGAGTTTAGGTTATAAAGGGCTTTAAGAACCAAGTGGAGAAGTTTATGTCTTATCCTAAGGCAATTTTTTTTTGGGGGGGGGAAGCCGGGGGTGGGGTAATGTGACTGTTGTCTCTTGAGTAGGACAGTAGGTCAGACCTATGCTTAAGGAAAATCATTTGGAAGTGAAAAGAGACTTAAGATAGGAAGACCAATTAGGAGGTTATTGGTGATCATGTGGTCCAGGATCAAGAGCTGCAGCAGACTTTGGATCCGTCCACACCATCTTCATCTCATCAACAAGGAAACAAATTCAGAGAGGATAGGTGACTTACCAAGGTTCACACAGCTAGTGTCTTGGTGAGAGCTGATAAGGCATGAAATAGGGTAGTGGCCGTGTGAGGAGGGTGAAGGGAACAGGTGCAAGAGATATTAGGGAGATAGGAACTGCAAACTGGCAACTGCTTGGATCTCTACTTTTATATGTGTCTTGTATGTTCTTATATATACTTGTCACCCCCATTAGAATGTAAGCTCTTGAGAGCAGTAACTGCTTTTACATTTTCCTTGTTTCTCTTGTACTTAGTACAGTTCCTGATTTGATAAATGCTGATTGATTGGTTAGATATGCGGGATAAAGGAAAATGAGCTGAGGATGATATTAAAATTGGAAACTTGGGAAATGGGGAAATTCAGAAGAGCGATGAGTATAAGCCTCTTCTGAATTTCTGCACTTCCTAGGTTTCCAACCTCAGCATCGTGCTGTCAGCTCATTTTCCTTCAAACCACATATCTTATATATGTGTGGGTATCTGTATTTATATATGTGTATCTATTATGTGTAAAAATATAGATATATGGCCATGGGCAGAGATTGTCTTTTGCTTCTTTTTGTATCCCCTGTGCTTAGCACAGTGCCTCACACTTACTGGGCACTTAATAAATGTTGATTGACTGACATGCGCACATAGAGACACCCACATACATGTATTGTAGATCAGTGATTCATCTGCATAGAGATAATAATTAAGCCCATAGGAACTGATACCGTTGTCATTGGGAAGTTCCTTTTTTACAAATCCAAATGAAGTCTTTCAAATCCGATGAGCAATTTCAATAGAATGGTAGAAGTAGAAGGGATCTGGGCCAAATCTGGGGGCATTTGTGAGATGAAGAAATGGAAGGCAGTGGGCATAGATGATTCATTTGAAAAACACAGCAGTGAAAAAAGAGAGAAGAAATAGAATGGTAGCTAGAGGAAGTCAACAAGACCAAGTGTTTGGTTTTTTTGAACCAAAGGCAAAGGGGAAAAGAGCCAGGATCTTTTAGAGCAGGCCTGCACAACCTGGGCCTGCCAAAGAATTTCAGGCAGCCTGCGAAAAGTGTAGAGGAAAACATCCTTTGTATATAAAGAAAATCCTTTGATGGGCCACAGGTTGTGCAGGCCTGTTTTAGAGGAAGGGGAAGAATATGGGAAGAAAACTGATCTTACTTAGTCAAATGATAAATAATTATTTGTATTAAGGAAATATCTGTTAAAGATCTATATATTCATGAATATTTTTGTCCATAGGGGAGGAATTATATGAGCTTTTGTAATGTTTCTAGGATAAAGGTCAGGGCACCACAATTATGTTTCAAAATCAACATCCTAAATTTTGTTTAATGATAGAAGAAGCAGAGGATCACATTAGTTGGCATAGTTAAGGAGCTTCAGTCCTACTGCATGTGCCCAGGGTGCTTCTCATGCTTTATGTCACTCTCATCAACCTCATGGTGGGACCACAAGTCAGTCATCCTTTCTTTGAGCTACTATATTAAAATAAAAGAATGATATAATAAATGCCCGCCCCTTTCCCATGTTTAGGTCCTAGCTGTTTCTAGAATGTTCTGCTTCTTTCCTAGGATGTTTTCATCATTTCTAATTAGCCAACACCTTAAAACACTCAATTGAGCAAACACTGTTTCTACTCTGTGCACAGCAATAATAATTGATTAGTGCTTATTATCCTCAACAGTAAAATAACCTTGCCCCCCAATTCTAGACTTGTGCCTTTGGAAAGTTTTTTTGCTCTATATACCTGTTTCCTTATCTGTAAGATGGGGTAATAATACCTACCTCACAGGGTTGTTGTGAAGAAAACACTTTATAAACCTTAGTGCTGTATAAGTGTGAGTGGTGATTATTACTCTTATATACTGATTTAATGTTATTGTTTAAGAATCATGTAACTCTTTGTTAATAGCCTCTCATGTAACTAGGTATTGACTCTTTTGTGATGAAGATGAAAAATATGTAATGTTGTGCTTCTGCTTTATCCCTAAGGTTATAGCTATACGTCCCCTCAGGCGGATCACACACATTCCTGGCGCTTTAGAAGATGAAGATGAGGATGAAGATAATGATGATATTGTCATGTTAGAAAAGAAAATCCGAACATCTAGCATGCCAGAGCAAGCTCATAAAGTCTGTGTCAAAGAGATAAAGAGGTGGGTTTGGGTACAGATAAGGTAGATGCATTTATTTATTATTTTGTAAAAGTTATTTGTGGTTTCAACTTGAGTAGTCATATTTTCAGGGTATGTGTTATGTCTGTTCTTTAACTGAAACTATAGCTGAGCTCTGCCATCCTGCCCTTGCTCTCAGTTAAAGATGCAGAATGTAAACTCCTTGACATCAGAGATTTTTTTTTTTGTCTTTTTACTCCCCAGTGCTCAGGACATTATAGTTGCTTCATAAAGATTTGAATTTAATGAAGTTGAATTGAAAGTTTGGGACAGTTGCTATCTTCTAATACCTTGTTCATTTTTTCAATTTTTAGGCAAATTTATTTGATGCCCTCTTTATTTGGGCATGCCATTCCTAATTTTGAATCTTCCAAGATTTCCAGTTTCCTACTTTCCCTGGCCCCAGGAAATGTCTTGATCATCATCATTCCTTATATACCCATCATTTCACAGTCTCTTCCTTCCAGAACTAACGATAGATCAGCTCGCTTTGAATTATTAGAGGACCAGAAGACACATATTGTAGGTCAAGGATTCATCTGCCTAGACACAATAATTAAGCCGTAGGGGCTGATGCCATCATCAATGGGAAGTTCCTTTTTTACAAATCCAAATGAAGCCTTTCAAATCAGATAAGCAATTTCAATAGAGTAGTAGAAATAGAAGTGGTCTGGGCCAAATCTGGGGGCATTTGTGAAGTGAAGAAATGGAAGGCAAGACCAGAGGACTCCTCAACCCCACCCTGTTTGAAAAGGGCAGCAACTTCAACTTACTGCTTTGTCACTTCACAGAATGCACCTAGCTTTGCTTACACATAACAATACTTTAATTTATTTAGCTTTTGTTCCTTTGTCTGTGTGTTCTTTAGATGTCATTGTCATTTTTAATATGTAAACTCTTGAGGGTAAAGCTTGTTTAACTTTGTTCAGGATATAGCATGGTACAGTAAAGCCTTGACTAACTGGGATACTCAGGAAGTAGGCTGTTCCAGTTTAAAGAATATGATGGTTATCTCAGGATTAAATAAATCAAAAAACATTTTTGTTTCAACCCTTTTAAAAAAACCTTTGTTAAAAGTCTGAATCTCCTTTCTTGCTTTAGTACAGCCTAGTGAACATAATTGAGTCTTTGAGGTTCTCGCAGTGCCTCAGGGTCATTAATGATGAGTATACAATACTATTGGTAGAGAAGCGATAGAAGATTCTGTGCCTCATGATGTCAGTCAACACATATTAAAGTGTGTGTTAGGCACTAGGAATGTTCTAGAGGTTGGTTTTTTAAAAAAAATAAATATCTGATATTAACTTACTTTCCTGGAAATTACCTCTTCTAAAAGACTGATGTTTTACAAAATCCAGTTAACAGTTTTCGTTAGTTGAGTTCTAGTTATTGGAGGTTTTATTCTGTTGTATGTGGATAGGAATGTAAATCTAGGTAGTGATGGACAAAATCAGGGGATCCGGGTAAATGGTACATTTTACTTGAAAAATCTATTTCTGGGTGGTCTAGGTGAATATCCCTAATCAGACTTTGAATATATAATTGTGCATGAGTCTTTTTTACTAGTTTCCAAGGAGAGTGGTTGCAGATTGGTTGCAGTCTCTAAAATAAGTGATTTCTTGTACATATTTAGAAAGTAGCTATTTCTTGTCAAATTAACATCATGTCTCCTTTGAGAAATCACCTGGTATAGTTGCGTTCTATCCCATTGACTTGTCTTCCTAAACAAATATCCCTGCCACTCTTGGTCAGGAGAGGAAAATAGACTAGATGTTGCTTTTGCAGTAAGGTCTCCTACATCATTGAGTTTGTTTCTTATGTACATTTTCTTTCTTCCTTTTTTTTTTTTTTGGCAGGCTAAAAAAAATGCCTCAATCAATGCCAGAATATGCCCTTACTAGAAATTATTTGGAACTTATGGTGGAATTACCTTGGAACAAGAGTACAACTGGTAAGCCCAGGGGAAAAGTACCTTCCCGTAGACTGATTGTTGACCTGAAAAAGTCTTGAAAGTCTTCCTTTTGAAGTACTGCCCACTGATTATTTAGACTCCAGCAAATATTAATTAAGTCCTTTCTATGTACAAGACACCACTGGGTGTCTAGGGAATCAAAGACAAGACAGAAAACATCCCCTGCCCTCAAATAGCTTGTGTTCTAAGCAGAATGGGGGTAGAGTAAAAAGATAAGCATATACATTATAAACAAATAAATATATATACTATAGGTGGAGGAGAGAGAAACATAATTTTGCTTCCCCATTACTTAAATCTTCTTTAGGAAGTTTTTTTTTATCCTTCTTTAGTTTCAGGACAAGTATTCTTCCTCCCTTCTGAGTGGATTGGATGCCAGTTTAGCCCTTGACATAAGATTTATTTAAATGTGTTTCACCAACAACTAGAGGGATCAAGGTGTGTTTTCTGTAGGTGGGGGCACATAAACTGAGTCAGGAATGAAGCCAAGAAAATTCATGGTGGAAATAAGGAAAGAATTAGAAGGGCCAATCTATGCAGGGGCACAGGGGCCAGATGAAGTGGAATCCTGTGTGCAGGGCACAGTGAAGAGGCCATTTTGGGTGGGAATGTAGATTATGTGAAGGAGAGGTATGCTGAATTAGAGCCGCTCACTGCAACAGTTTGAATGAAGGCCTTGTGTGAATTTTAGAAGTTTTTAGTTCATGGCTTTCGAAAAGTTTAGTGATTCTTAAATTATGTCTACTTCATCTGTTTTTCAGATCAGTTGTTTTTGCTATGAGATACCTCACATTTTCTTCAATTTTTTTTCAGTCTTTGACTTTGTTTTAATTTTTTTTTTTTTTACGTCTCATGGCATCATTAGTTTCCAATTGGTTAATTCTAATTTTCAGAGAGTTATTTTCTTGGATAAAGCTTTTGTAGTGTTTGGTCCAAACTGTTAACTGTCTTTATATCTTTCTTCCAAAACTCTTATTTGTTTTCCTGTTTTTTTCTGCCACTCTCATTTAGCTTTTAAAATAGTTTTTCAGCTCTTTTTAAAATTGCATTTTTCTTTGAGGCTTACTTTTAATATTTTCAAGTCATTCTCTTCTTCTGGTTCTGTGCTTCCCAGCTATAATAGCTCTTTATGGTGAGATTTTGTTTTGTTTTGTTTTGTGTTTTCATTCTTCCAGCCTCCTTCTTGACTTTGAACTTTGTTAGTGCTGGGCTCTCTGTACGTTTAGGGGAATATCTGGCTTAAGCTTCTGTCCTTTTAACATGCAGTTGCTTTTAAGGCTCATGCTGAAGGGTCTGCATTTTTTCTGTGCCCCCCAAATGTGATCCAAGGTTAAATGTTTTCACTGCCCTCCTGGTCTGAGTTTTCAAGTTCCTGACCCAGATTTGGGTCTTTTGGTATCCTGGGCTGGCAGCATCAGTAGGCTGCTTCAGGACTCAGCCACCCTTGGCCCGCTGGAAGACGCTTCAGGCTCAGAGTGACTGAACCACAGGTTCCCCTCGATCCAGGCCTCCTGCCCTGGTTAATCCAGTGCAGACGTCCGGCTGGGCCGGAGGCGAGAATTAAGTCCCTGCTGTGCTTCTGGGATCAGAGCCACACAGCTGTTCTTTGCTTCCAAATTTGTTTCTTGCTTAGCACCCAGCTAGGGCTTACTAGCAACTGACCTTCTTCACACACCTGTGAATAGATCTCCACCTCGCTCTGACCTAGAACTGTATAGTAGGTGACAGAGCTGCCAGATGGCACCTGTTCCTGCACCCTGCCCCAGTGCTTAGGCTTAATCTCTTTCAGTCCCCAGGTATTGTAATTCTCTGCACATGGTACACTCCTGGCCAGACCCTGTCCTCGGTGTGAGCAGATCTGGCTGTCTCCCTAAGCCAACCTGGGCTGGAGAAGTGATTCATCTTGGCTTTTTCTTGAATTTCCCAATTGGAGTTCAGCCTACTGTGTTTTCTATATCTTTGTGGGGTAGGTTTGCTGGGGAAGCTAAGCTGAACTTCTTCCTGCTACTCTGCTATCCTAACTCTGCCTCTTTCTAGGAGTTTTTAAATGAAAGAGGTCAACAGCTCCTACCATGTCACTTCCTACATTTGGCCACAGAGTCCTCTCCATATGAGTGACTGTGGTAATTCAGTATCCCATCTAGGGAGGGAAAAAGGAGAAAGCTCACACCCAAGACTCTTGTGTCCAAATGAAATTTGTTACAGGATGTTCTCTACAGCAAAGCAACGTGGTATTGTTTATACAAAAGTCATCCTTGGAGCCTTAGGTTCACATCCTGCCTGTGACATAGTAACTATGTGACCCTGGGCTAAACACTGAACTTTTCAGTGCTCTAGGCAGCTCTGTGACTACAAATTGCTGAGAAAGTGCTGACCTGTGTCGGTTGAGGGTATTTCCTCACTTGGGAGTTCGCCATACTAATGAAATATCTAGTCTAGTCCATTTCCCGACACTTATTGTCAGCTGAATGCTGGAGACGTGGGAGGGTGCTGTGGTCCTCTAAATTTGCATCCATATGGAGATTTTAGCTCCCAAGATAGAGCTTCTCAGCTTTCCCTTCTTGTACATGAGAAGTCCCATTTCTAATTTGTTAGGGATACTCTCTCTTTTATGAGGGTATTGGGATATTGATCAGTAGGAAACAAGATGTTACCTGTTAGCTCAGCTTCCAGATCTATATTTGGGAATGTTTGAGGCCTGTAATCAGTTGAGAGGAATAAGAATCAGAGGATCATGGGGGCAGCTAGGTGGTGCAGTGGATAGATCTCTGGCCTTGGAGTCAGGAGGACCTGAGTTCAAATCCGGCCTTAGACACTTGACACTTACTTAGCTGTGTGACCCTGGGCAAGTCACTTAACCCCGATTGCTTCAGTCAAAAAAAAAAAAACCAGAGGATCAGAATGCTCCGCCTCTACTCAAGATTGACTAGTAAGGGGAATGTGGAATATCTTTCTCTGATGTCAGGTGCTATGAGGCTGATGGATCCCACATGGATACTATCTATGAAATTATAATTGAGGGGACTTCTGCTAGTTTTAGGGATGAAAGCATAAGAAAAAAAAAACACCATAGGTATATAGGATAGCAGTCGGTAAATATGGACATAAACCTTCCCAAGGAGGCCTGACTGCCTTTGACTCTCTTTTGCCTAGCCATCGCTATTAGGTTGCTGTCTCAAGTGAAGACGTGTTTGTAAATTTTCCCTTCAGGATTCTATACATGAATAGCAACATTGATTCTGTAGAGGAACAAGGAATAAACTTCCAGTACATAAAGATCCTAATATGGAGGAGGGAGAAGGAAAGACCTTATTTGTTGATATAATCATGTATACATGCAAATGTATTCTAGCAAGTAATATCAGTGCATTTGCATTTCCCAGAGAAAGGTTGTCCCTTGCAGTTAGGAAATTCTAAAAATAAACTTTTCTGCATGTCATAAGGAACTCCATACTAGGCATTATGAAATAAATTATGTTAGTCATAATTTAACAGTCCCTGTAACAAATATGAAACGGGACTAGAAAGAATTCTGTAATTCCACTATGATATTTTTTTTGGAGACCACGCTAACTTCCTCTAGCTATTAGAGAAAGGAGGAAAAGGTGCATGCTCATCACACATATATGCAAATACCCAAATCTTTTACAGACCTTTTCCTCCATGCCAATAAAATATGTATTTCAAAAAACCTTTTTTTAAAAAGCAGTTTTTTTTGTACATGTACTAGGTACAAAGCAAAAAGATAACTAGCCATATAAACCAGTCTATAATAGGTGCTAAGAGAGTGTTAAAGACAGTTCCCTTTCCTTTAAAAAAAGGAACTGCATATAAAGACAGCATAGAGAACAGAACAGATTTTTTAAAAATTTATATTGAATTTTACCTCCTCATTGCTGAAAGCTTTTTCAGGAACTTAAGCCCTTTTTATCCTTGTTTAGTTAGTTTCACTACAAGTGTTCTTTCTCCCTCCTGGGCAAATTGGGTGCCAGTTTAGCCTTTAGTATAATACTTGTTTTGGGGACAGCTAGGTGGTGTAGTGAGTAGCACACCAGGTCCGGAGTCAGGAAGACCTGAGTTCAAATATGGCTTTAGACACTAGCCGTGTGTCTCTGGGCAAATGACTTAACCCTCTTTGCCTCAGTTTCCTCATCTGTAAAATGAGCTGGAGAAGGAAATGACAAACTACTCCAGTACCTTTGCCAAGAAAACCCTAAATGGAATCATGAAGATTTGGACACTACTGAAATGACTGAACAACAACAAGAAGATTTGTTTAAATGTGTTTCACAATTTTCACAATAATTCTATTTGCATATGGTTTTTAATAACTAGAACTTAAATCTTTTCTCGCCAGCTTCCCCTGCCCAAGCACCCAATCACACCTTACTTAAAGGTGTATGCCCCTATATTGATTAGTTACTTGATTATCTGCAGGCAGTAATGAAGTCACTTAATAATTATTAATTAACTAATAATTAACATATGTTCTCAGCATAAGAGAAACTATGGTTGCTTATTTTTATTGAGGAGATATATTATCTTGGCTTCCATTGTTAGTTCCATGTAGGAAAATGACAGAAGTTCTCCAGCGTCCATTTACATAGCTATTATTCATGCCTAGAAAAAAAGAGGTTGTTCCTACCAGTTTTTAGAATATTGAATTGTTAGGACAGTAGTTCCTAACTTCCTGAAAGAATAACTGAAGGCAAATGAGCATTGTGCTGACTGTACTCTATTGTACCTTTTTCAAATGCAGCATTTTAAATGACATCATTTTTTCATTACTCTTTTTAATTTGCAAGTCAGTTTAAAAGTAAGTTTTCCCAGAGCTCACGATTCAGGAGGTATGATTCACAGTGCATTGTCATCGTGAACTTGAGAAGAACGAGTCTACAAGTAAACTGAGAAATCTAGTTTTTTGGAACTTTTGCCGTGAAGAAATATTGCCCTCTAGTGGAAACTTTCTGTTGTGCCGATCTTTTCTGGAAGATGCACATGAGATGAATACAGTGGGGCATGACTTCTCGTAAATGTGGTCCCTTCCTTTGATCTATGACCAGACTCTGTTGCCCTCTGAATCACCTTTTAGCTGAGTAAGTTATTTGCTGTTTCATCAGACCCAGGGCAGGCCCTGCCTCATTCACTGCCAGTTTAGGTGGAATCATGCACAGCCTGAGGAAGCTGGTAATGAACGGAAGAACCACCATACTGATTCAGTTCCATCTGCTGAGAGTCGCTTATCCGAGTTTGGAGAGGGGTGGCTCCGTTTTGCTAAAGAAACAGCAAACCACAAACAAATATTGGCTCAGCTGCTATTAACCAGCCTGAAATTTGATTCCGAGCCTATAATAAACCAGTATTTTTCAAATATTTTTCAAATCCTGATTTATGAGTGTTTAAAAAAAACCAAAACTCTAGCAATGCCAGAAATCCCTTTACAAATATAATTACTTATTTGGGCTTCTCTTCTTTCAGTAAACTATTGCCCTGTGTTCTGATGTTAACGACCTCTGTGAAATACTGAGTTGCAGAGTCAATCAAATTAAAAGTACAGTCACCTTTGTTCCTTTACTGCTTTAGCTTCAGCAAGTTGCTGTATCTGTATGTTTTCATTTTGCTTATTTATGTATAGATTTATACAGGCATTTGCTATCTATACTTCCTCTCCTCTCTCCAACCCCTCCCAACTTCCCTGTTTCCATTGAAGTCATTGTCAGCATTCTAGTTACCAAGACTGGAAAACTAGGAGTCCCCCAAAATTCATCACTTTCCGTTAGCCCCCATATCTAATCAATGTATCAGTTTTTATGCATCCTACCTCCACAGAATCACTCTTACAGGTACTCCCTTCTCTCTATTCACAGGACTACCTCTCTAGTTTAGGCCTTTCATCTTGACTTTTGCAATAGCTTTTTAATATAAGAATATAATATAATGTAAGAATTTTAGGTGCAAAATCACTCAGTGGGACCTTTAGGAAAACTTGGTCTTGGAAGTTTGTCCTAAAAGAGATAAGAAAATGCACTTCCCTCCCTTTTTTACAGATGTGGAAGATTGTTGGTGTGGAACGTATACCATTAGACTCAGCTGAGGAACTCCTTTTTTTCCTTTGTTCTATCAGAACTTCTTAAACTTTTTCCACTTGTGACACAGTTTAAGAAACGCCGTGGAATAAATCTCTAGGTATGGGTAGGGATATATAAAGTTAAAATAAAATAATATGAAGTTAATATACAATGATAGCAGTACATTTATTTAAGAAAACTTAGTTTGGGAAACAAAGTAAGAATATAGGTTATGTAGAAATTGCATCCCCTTGAGAAATTTTCTACATCTCAAAAAACTAATCTGTAGATCTAAGTAGCATTTCTTAAGTAGAAATGAATATCTATAATACTTTCGAGAGATAGAAATTATAGTAGGACATTGTCTTGCTGCTAGCCTTTGTTATGTAGATGAGCCATGTCTGGACCTCTCTTAAGATACTCTACCAAAAGGAAAACAATTTCAGTCTTTTCTTGGTCCGTCCTATTTTTTGATAACAGTTTTTTTCAGTTAAAGTAAAAATGAGATACTTGATTTGAGTATTCAAATTGTTTGAACTCTATTGCTTGACAGACCGCCTTGATATCCGGGCAGCCCGAATTCTTCTGGACAACGATCATTATGCCATGGACAAGTTGAAGAAAAGGGTGCTGGAATACTTAGCTGTCAGGCAGCTGAAGAACAACCTGAAGGGCCCAATCCTATGCTTTGTTGGCCCCCCTGGAGTTGGCAAAACAAGTGTAGGAAGATCAGTAGCAAAGACCTTGGGTCGAGAATTTCACAGGATCGCACTGGGAGGTGTATGTGATCAGTCAGACATTCGAGGACACAGGTATTTCTCTTAGTTCACTCTTTTGCTCTCATCTGGCTATTTTAATTGAGACAGAAGAAAAACACTGCTTTAAAGGGCCCCAGTTTGTTAGTGTGCCATTTCTTCAGCTCACTACCTTCTCAGCCTTGTAGCCAAATTATCTTCAAAAGATGGTTTTAATAATGTCTCAACTTGGTTGGAGGACAGATTTGCCTGCTATCCTCATGTTCTGTCTGAGTAAAAAAGCAAATTCTTTGGGAGTGGAAATGACATTCTCTTTATGACTCATTAGGCCAGGGACCATACATTTTGCTTTGGTTCGAGGTACCTCCTGAAGTTTAGGAGCATATACATTTTTCTCTTTTTTTATTTTTTTGTTAGGTTTTGGGTTTTATGTTTTCCATGGTAGCACAAAACTAACCAACCAAAAAACATTTCTCCCGTACTACCATTTAATGATATAGGGGGCAGCATACTTTTAAACAGTTATGGACGTTTATTGCATAGTGGCATTGTAATGTCAGATAACAAATATACTCTACAATTCCATTGTTTCCCATTTGACTGCATAGTCATGCACAAATTAAGTACCCTTGGCGTAAATATTCCCTCATAAAAATTAATATAACAACAAAGGAGTGTCAGCGTAGTGTTATGGGTAAAGGGCTGCATAAAATCAAGCCTGAGTTCAGGGCCTACCCCTGACACATACTGACTGTGAGACTGTAGACGAGTCTCACACTTGGCTACTTATTCAGCAACTCTCCAAGGCTATAACTATGCAGTTATAGTGGTGATCTATACCAATGGAGGGAGTTTCCACACCAGGAGTGCTCCCACACAAATATAATCACAAGCCTGACCCCCCACTCCCTCCCCCCCCCAAAAAAATCTGCCTCCTTATTTCCTCGGTCTTCTCCCTTAGTTTCTGTGATTTGACCTCTCTAGCCTCTTCTTTTTCTCTAATTTCATCTTTATTTCTTCTACTCGCACTCTCTCCTCCATTTTAACTCATCCTTATCTCACACTTGCAACTCATCTCATACCTCATGGTCTGGACTACTTCATTCATGGGAGGTTGAGAAAGGAGGAACCGACTGGGGTGGCTGCTTGTAGGGCAAGAGAATTCGTGTCTGGGGGACCCAGACCTGGCTTGCCCCCGAGGCTCGGCTCCTTAGCACTATGACAATTGAAAAGGAATCCTCAGTGTGTTAGATTTATCAAGAATATCTAATATCTTCTTCTACACTAAGGAAGTCCCATTGAACAACTAACGTTAATTTATAACCTTTACAATTAAAAAAGAAAAATGTTATGGGAATCTTTTTTGTATTTACTTCAATTTAAATGACTTTCGCTTTGGGTTTTTGTTTGTTTGTTTAAACTCCAAAATGGAGAAGAGTTAGTTTGGTACATAAAATGTAAATAGTAGAAAGGCTGTGAACATCTGTGTCATCTTAGCTATAAGAGCAAACAAATAATTCATTTTGGTCACAATAACTATTTTCCAATAGCTTACGTTGACATAGCACTTTATTGCTACCTATGAAACTCCCTTGCTGTAACACTGACTTCTTCATTACTCATTATGAGTTTCTTTAGATTAAAAAAATAATATGGCAAAGTGTGAGTGTCTATGCCATAAAGTTGAAAGGTCTCTGTCATGGTTTAACTATCAGAGAGGTCTGCAGATTTTGCTATCAGCATACTGCAAGCAAAGTATTTGAAAAGTAGAAAGCAGCCCCCAAACTAGAATGCCTTATTTTGTGTATATTTTATTTTCCATATAATAGATGTTGCCTTATCCGAGTAGGTAATTGATGACATTTTTCACTTACCAGTTGGAATGGGAAAGGGCAAAGAACTCTTCCTTCAAATCATAGTTTAGGTACCACTTTTTACGAGAAGCTTTTCTTGACTCTTTTCCCCCTCTCCACATCTCCCTCCACCCCTATTGCTAGGACCCTCCTTCCCTTGTATTTATTTTCTAATTATTGTGTACATACTTCAGATGCATATATTTATTCCCCGATAGCATGTATCTTCCTTAAGAGCAAGAACCATTTTATTTTCATCTTTGGACCACCAGTGCCTAGCACAGTGCCTGATACATAGTAGGTTTTTAATAAATACTTGTTGATTGGTTGTTCAGGTAAAACTTTCCATGTGTTAAAAAAAAAAAAAAAGAGAGAGAGGGATGTTTTAGTGAACACCGAGTCTTCATAGATGGCTAATTAGTTCATTCTCTTTAGATAAATTCCTGTGACTTTTCAGATTCTTTTTGCTCAGTCAAGAGTTTATGTTTTCAGTTGTTTTTGTTTTGTTTTAATTCCCACATAAGCCACTAGAGGCTGTTGTTTGCTTCCACAAGGAAGCAAAAGGGCAGAGAAACCACTTCTGCAGAAGTACCTAATTCTAGGACTCTATGCACCCCTATCCACAGAGGGTTCAGTTATCCAAAGTAGAAAACAATTTCTGATCTCGTGGCTTGAAGATCTAAAGTAAAAGCAACTCAGAATTTATTTTTCACCTTTCCCAGTGAGGTGATAGTGGTGGCAGTGGTAGTGATATACTGAATATGAAGTTGGGGAAGATGACAGGCACATGGGATCACATTTTACCAGATCCTATACTTTGCTTTCCTCAATTCCTTCCATACTGAGTGATAAAAGTGTTCAGTATTTTTCAGCACGGATCCTAAATAGGACAAGCTAAAAATTAGAAACTGCTTTTTTTCTTTTGTTAATATTTTCTTACCAATTGAAATTTATAAAGTACATCACACTTAAAATATTTATTACTGAGTGCCGAGACCGTTAAAAATATGAATTTTTTGTGGGAAGGCTATGAAAAATATCTCACAACAATGACAATGCCTCTTGGTTCAGATATCCCCTCAAAAGAGAAATCTTTGAAAAGAGACAAACCATATGTTGGTATAGATGGAAAAATAGGTAAAATTAATATTTGAATTCTAATTTACTTGCTTTTATTCAAATAAAAATGATGTCATTCTCTTCCTAAGATCAAAATTTAAGCCACATCCACGTATCTGGGAAGTAGAGACAGTATGGTGGACTGCCGAGAGCCCTGGATTTGGTGTCAGAGGTGTCTGTCTCCATCTCTGGTGTCAGAGGTATCTGTCTCCATCGCTGCCACTTACTGTATATGACCTTGAACAAGTCATTAAACCTTGTTGACCTCAACTTCCTATCTGTAAAACTAAACTGGACCAGATTCCCAGCCCTTTGGACACTGTCAGCTTTATTATTCATCTGTTACCCACTGCTATGGCTAATGATCTCCCACAACTTATTATTTTTCCCTATCCCTTTATTAATCAATCACCAGTCGCATCGGAGCAAACCATTCCCAACCCCCCCCCTGATTTACTCATCCTAATGTTCCTCAGCATTGCCTACTCTTTCCCCTGTACTCTCTAGAATTCCCTTGCATGATTCCTCCACTTTTCTCCATCCCCTTTTAAAAATTATTTGGCAAGAGGTATAAAACCTACATTCTTTTCTAGCTCTGAATAGACTGCTTTTTTTTTTACTTTTTTTACTTTTTTTTTTTACTGTTTACAGTAAATAAAGACTTGAGATTATAAAATGACCTTTTTATCACCTATAGACTTGCATTTGAAGGTGATGGGGGTGAGGGGAACAATGTATGTCGGAAAAAACTGTACCATTGGGCTAAAATATTTGTTTTTTAAATTTTTAAATGTAATTTTATTTTTTTCAGTTAACAAAAATATATTTTCACTCCCTTGCACCTCTCTTTTTCTTCTCCTCCCCCCCATTTGGAAGAAGAAAAACAAAATCCTTATAATGAACATGATAATAAAATAAAGCAAATCCCCTTATTGGCCATATAAAAAAAATGTTTCTTATTTTGCACTTGGAGACCATCATTTCTCTGTCAGGAAGTGGGTAGCATGTTTCATCATAAGTCATCTGGAGTTGTGGTTGATCACTACATTAATCAGTGTTCTTAAGTCTTTCAAAGTTGTTTGTCTGTACAGTGTTGTTTTTGGATAAATTGTTCTGGTTCTGCTTACTTCTGTCTGCATTAGTTCATATTAGTCTTCCAAGACATCTCTAAAACTATCTCCTTCAATCATTTCTTATAATACAGTACTATTCTATACATTCATGTATCATAATTTGGTCAATCACCCAACTGATGGGTGCCCTCTTAGTTTCCAGTGTTTTATCGCCACAAAAAAAAGAGCTGTTATAAATAGTTTCACATATATGGAGGCTAAAATATTTCCTTAAAACGTGTCTCTTATCTCTAAGAAATAAGTAGAAAAGCTGGAATTTTTACCACTAAAAAGACTCTTTGGACTTAGCCTCCACCAGGTATTCATTTTTTAATGAATAGATGATAGTTATATCATAACTGGTGGATGCTCAGAAACTTGGCACATTAAACATTCCATTAACAATGTTGCCTGTTCGTATGCCACTGGAGTGTTTTGCCCATACGCTTTCTAAAGTACGGAAGTTTTTTAGAATGTTTGATTTGAAAGCATTTTGTTTGGAGACAGCAAAAAATATATAAGCATATATATTTGCAGCTTTCAATTTTGTCACTATACCTTCCGGAGAAAAAGTAGTATATCTATCAGATTGCAACATGGAGTTGGGGTGGGAATTGGGGGCACGTTTGGCTCCATGTGACGATCCAAAAAATGCATTTTGGAAACACCCATATCTTGCTTGTTGAGCACTGGTCATGTGCTTATTATTGGCATTCATGTGAATTCTTGTTTTTCCTTAGCCTCTGTGTAGCTACTACTGTTCTGCTGTCTTAAAATAGCCAGAGAAAAACAGAGCTGCTTTATCAAGCATATCCCAGCTTTCTAAAATGCGTCATATTGGCTTTCATCACTTACCTTTCTCATATGCAGAATTTCATCTCTATCCATTTAGCCTAGATATTTACTGGAGGATTATTTAGCCAGTTGTGAATAGTTAAAAAAAATCAACCCCTTCCCAACATTTCATGATTTG